GAAGTCCTGGGCCAGCTGGGTTCTGCTTCTTTTCAATGAAGTGGGAAATTGCAAACCTTGATTCCTGAGGCACATGAAATCCCTGCACTAGTCAGGGTCACAACTTGTTCTGGTGAAGAGCGAAGCAGTTGAAGGCAAATAATGTCATCAAACGGGCTCTTGCTAGACTCTAGAGATACATGTATCATGTGGATGCAAGCTCAGGAGGGAATATGCAGGATAACAGTGATCTGCTTTGTTTTTGTTTGCCTCCGGATATTTGCCAGGCTGCTTCTAGAACACCGCCACTGACGAAGCACTTGGCTATTCCCACCGACTCCACTACTTCTTTTTCGATATTCAACTCCTGCATGCATCCAATATTTACAATCCAATCATCATGGCATCAGTGAAAATCTGTGGCAGGCTTTCACTGTTGGATGCTTGTATATGCTAAAACTTTTATTTGTGGGGGATCTGTGTGGAACTAGAAGGGGCCTGGCCAGAGATTTGCACAATCAGGAACTGGTTGTTTGTTTCATGTTGCCTTAGTGGTTGTATGAAGCTACACAACACCCTGAGCATTCAGAAAAGGGCTCTAACAGAAGATGCCTCATTTGTTTCTGAGACTGCTTGGCACAACCTGCCTCCTATGACGATACTTTATTCATTGCAACCGTTTTCACCTGCTGGCTTTGCTTAATGAGGCTGGGGGAACACATGGACCCAGACTCCACCGATTTCCACAAGACCATCTGCCATCGCTCTGTGTATTTTAACAGATCACCTTGGCCACACATCTCATTTTATCTTGCCAAGTGCAAAGCGAACCATTTTTTTGAAGTGTCTACAATCATTCTAGAGGGTGGTGAAAACTGGTTGGTTTGATAGGTTATCCAGATGATTATGTTGGTGGAATCATCTTTCACTAAACATGGCCCTTGCAGCATCAATACATGCTGGGCTATTGACCACAATCACCTTTACATTCAGAGTGATGGTGATGCAAGCCTTCCATTCTGAGTGTGCAATAGAGAAGCAATGGCATGTTCAAGTGACTGTGATGGTAATTTCTGCCACACAATGTGTCACAGCACAACTGCAATGTTGTGGGGCACCCAAATATATAAGGTCAACAAGAATATATGGTGCTTAAGAATTGCAAGATGAAGCAGTCAGGAGAATTATTAATTGATAAAGACAGTCACCTGAAGGAAAAATTCCTATTTTTCGTTCTTTTTTTCAACTTTACATTCACTTTTGATATAATTACATTGGGTATCCATTCTGTGCTGCTAAGCCCACCTAACAGGGCATTTCCAATAGGGGGCCCCTGCCATCACATACCATGATACAGGCTGCCCCCAAGGGTCAAGCTTGCCAGGGTTTGTAGGGGCCCCAATGGATGGCTTGTGTCATGGTGCATATGATGGGGGCCCCCATTGAAAATGCCCTGTTGGGTAGGCCTAGTGGGTACCCAAGGGCCTTGCTGGTTGAGCAAGGAGCCTAAGTGCCATCAAGGGCACATGCCATTTGATGTGCTGTTGAACACTTCGCATCTTCACCAATACTGCATCATTCAATGGGAGACTCAGTGGAAAAATATCCCCTTTTGATTCTGTAGTTTTCTATTATGTGGGCATCCTTGGGTCTTGGGGGGTCAAATATTATAGCTTCTCTCTTGTTCAAGAGGGTGTTTTTTGACATGTTCCCTATCTGTGGGACTGGCATCAGGACACCTCTGAGGTCGATTGAGCTGATTTGATCAAATCCCTGGGATTCCCTCCCTGCACCCCAATTGGTTCGATCATGCCAACCTATCATGTAGATTTATCTATGTTCCAAAATGATATATAAATTTATGATCTTATTTACAAAAATTAAAGCAAGTGAAGGCATTACAGAGGTCCAAGGTGAAGGAGATCATGTTTAAAGTTCTGGTGAAAAATGATCACCTGTTATCCAAGGTGACTCGCTGCATCACTAAGAAGAGGCCTCCTCTCAGGCTCTCTGTGCAGCAGCTAGTAACAAATCAGTATGAGTGCCAAGCAAAGTGGGTTGGATGCACAAGTTTGATGAAATCACAAGCTTCTGGGGAAATGTGACTGGGAAGTTCCAAGTCCACTGACATGATCTGTTGGTATGTTGCTGTCCATAGCATCAGTCAAAGACAGGATAACTCATCACATGGGGAACACTAACCTATGGAACTATTCGCTTCGAAGGGTACATTGCCAACAAGAAACTCATAAGCAAGGACAGTGCCCAGTGATCCACTTTCTCCATGCAGGGTTCCCCTGCAACCATTTCAGGGGCAATGTAATTGAGAGTGCCACAGAATGTCATCCAGCTGGTGGGTCATGTCAATACTAATCGAAGCAGTCATGCATTGATGGAACACACCAATTACTGTTTGCTTGGACACTACATCCAAAATCACCTATCTTCACCTTTCCATCAAGACCAAGGAGAAGGTTTTTAAGGCTTGATATCACAGTGGATGACATGCTTGCTATGTAGATATTGCAATGCATCCACCACCTGAGAAATGTACTTAAAATAGCCAATCAGTTGGAGAATATCAGTCACAGTTAAACAGGCATACTTGACTTCCCTACTCTTCTGAGAAACATCCAAGTTTTGTAAAGTGCTTAAAGATATCACCCTTTGGTGCAAGTTCCAACATCAAAAAAACCCAGTTTTCATCATGGAAAAATCCATAGAGGCATAAGATGTTTGGATGTTGCAGTTCCTTCTGGATTTCGATCTCATGACACAATTATGACACAGTTGCTCCTTGGCATGTTCCTTTTTCAGTTCAGCCTTGTACAGGCATTTCAGGGCGAGAATAAACTTGGAAGCCTTCTTGGTTCGAACTATGTAGATGCATCCAAACCTGCCCCTCCCAAGGCAATGGCCAATTTTGAACGAGTCCAATGTCCATGCATTGGGGGTGTACAATCTGTAAGGAAATTACATTATTTGAGTGAATGGACTGGTATAAACCAACTTACAAGCTTGTTGAAGATGTGCAACCAAGAGTCTCCACAGCTTCACTGGAGAAGGTGTCAAGTTCACCAGTTTTGTTGACTTTCCACCTGATATGGGGTGGAAGGTGCTGGTACTGTGGGGGCATCTTGTAGTGTAGTGGGTGAATGCTGTAGGGGCCCTTGGAGCTTGTAAGAATGTGCTGTAGGGTGATTTCTTGGGGCCAAGGGATGTGACTGACTTGGAGGATGAGTGAATGTTGAATTGATTATGAATGTAAATACATCCAAGGACAGAAACGAGAACATTTCTTGGAGTCTAACTACACAAATTGGATCAGGCTGATTCTTCTGATACAGGTTGTGGGGCCTCATGAGCACTATCTGGATGTTGAGATGATCTGGATTGGCTTGATCACCGCAGCCACATCTGCCATCCCTGCTCATTGAGGGTCCATGGTTGTGGGTGGCAGTAAGTTCTGTGTTGTTGGTGGGGTTTGTGTTTGCAATTTGGGAGTCATTGATTCTTTTGCAGGGGAACACTTCATTCCAGAATGGGACTTCACTCAGCAGGTGCTGGTAGGTCTCTACCCTTGCAACACTTGCAGTTCACCTGTGATGATGGAAGGGTGATACCATTTCATACTTCCAGCCACAGCTACCCCACTGTCTGTGTTGGAACATGTTGGTGGGGTGGGGGGAATTGGCCATGAAGACCCAGTGTGTAGAGGCATTTCCATGTCTAATCATGGTGATTAGGCCATCCTCTGCTGAGTTAATGGTCCCACAGCATAACAGCATGTTCAGGACTTTGCTGGCTAGGTGTTGGCTGACTGGGGTGCTGGTCTGCACCAGGTTGTGTCTGAGATGGCTGGCCAATTGGTGGTGAAGTCTGTTGCAGGGTAGGCAGCGAAGCTGAAGGCCTTGGAGATCCAGAACCAGTTGGAGAGGTGGGTGGCCACATTGCAGTACATTAGGCCTGCTATCATTATGCCCCTGGGAAGTGGCTCATCTGCTTGCTGGTCATTTAATTTTGTGGCTGGATGTGACCATGAGAGTGTTTGCTAAACCAGGGAAGGCCATGAAGATAGTAGCATCTGCCTTGGCCTTCTGCATGCAGGGAAAACATCATGTTTTTCCAGGCTGCTTGGGCTCTGTCTGATATGTTGAAGCATAAGTGTGCACTGAACACCCCCAGGACTCTGTAGCCAAGTCGCTTGGGAGGGTATAGGCATTATGTGCTTGTTGGTCCTGGGGTGTGCTGCACTGCCCTATGGAGGGGTGGATAGCCACTGGGTGGTCGACTAGGCCCCCTTCAGCAGCAGTGTCAGTTCTGGAGTCGAGTACTATGTCCTGGGTTCCTTCTGGTACTACATACTCTTCTGTGCAGGTATTTGCTGGGCTCAGGGTAGATTGAGTTGAGTTGTCAGGGGACAGGGTCATGGCTATGATTACTCTAGGTGGGGTGGGGGTGCTGTCATCAGTGGGGTTGTAAAACCAGAATAGTGGACAACCCATGGTGGCTGGCAAGTCCAGTGCCTCTACATTGGGATGTTGCAAGCAGGAGCAGAGACCAAAACTCTGAAGATGGTAGGAAAGCACTCTCACTCACTCCCCAAAGGATTAGGGAAGAAAGTAAGGGCTAGGGGTGCGATGATTGACAAGTCCATGAAATCAACTAGGGGGAGAACTCTGTTAGATTGGGCAGATTTGGACGACTCCGGAATGGAATCAGAGACTCAGTATGGAAGGACCTCGGCCTCAGTGACTCAGGTGGAGCGCTGTGCCATTGCTGGTTGTCCTGGGGGTCCCTAATTTTGGATCTAGCAGAGGGAAAGTCTCTTAGGGGGGAATCAGGTCAATTTCAGACTGAGGTTACAAGTTACTATGTACATTGTATATAAGGAGGGGTCCGGAATCAAAAGGAGCAAGGGTACTCTGAAAGGAGACAAGGGAGCTGGAAGGAGGAACAACACCAAGGGTCAAAGGTTTGACTCAATGGTGTTTCCCAAAGGAGGAGTGAAGGGCCAAGGCCCAAGGAGCAAGGAAGGAGGATGGGAGTGGGGAATGGCTAGCTGACTGAATAGAAAGGAAGCAGCAGCCCATATAGGAATGAGGGAGAATAGCAGAAATGAATAGGACAATGCAATAGTTGCAAGGTCCAAAGTAAGTCCAGAAAGTCCAAACTCAGAAGTTAAACTCCGGAATATTGGCAAAGGTAATTAAATGGAATGAGCTAACCAATACAATGGGTATAAGCAGAGGTGGGGTGTCAGGGACAGCTCCAAAAGCGGCAAGGTCCCGGTGCAAGGGACTTGATGGGACAGGTGTCAGCTATGCATAGCGGTGGTCCCATCGCAGGGTGAGCGTCCCCGACCACTTAGGCTGAAGTGGGAAGTTGAGTTATCATTAAAAGGGGAAAGCTATGGTACTTACCTGAAGTGGGAAGTTGAGAAGAAGGCTGCTTCTTCTGTTCCCACCCCAGGTGCTATTATATACATGTGGTCAGGGTCATGTGGGAGAAGCCACATCATCTCCGCACACAGCCACGCCCCCCCGGGTGTCTCCATGGGAGATCCCAGAGGTGGCCGCTCAGTAGGCAGGAGTGTGTGCGCAGCACGTGCAGCGATCAGGGGAGCAGGGTTAGGTACATAGTGGTACATGGAGAAAAGGGAAATCGACCATAGAATAGAAATAGGGAGAAAAGGGGAAAGTGAGAAAGGAGGGACGGGGGGTGATAGCGGGGAAAGCGGAGTAGGGCAGTACGGTGCAGGGTGCGGTGCAGGGTCAGGCGGGTGTGCCCTGACATGGGGTCAAAGTCCGAGGTTGGAGCTAAGACCAGAGGTTCCAGAGACAGAGATGTGAACAGGATTCCAGAGGTCCAGAGTTGGGAGCATAGGTGTTGCATGCTTGTCTGGAAGGTGTTGAGGTTGAGGTTGGACCCGGAATGTTCTGGAGTCAGACCGAAGGTGGTGTCAGAGCTGGAGGTGGGATAACCTCTTGGGAGTCAGTAAGGAGAAGGTGACGGAAGGGAAGTAGGGCTCCAGAGTCAGTTTCGGAGTTCCAGGAGCCCGGAGTGGAGGTCAGGATTGTATGGATATGACAAACTTGAGGTAACACTAAGTAATCTTCAATTTCTTGTCATGGTGGATTTCCCTAAGGGCCTCTGTTACCCTTACCAGTCAAGTGGCTGCTCACAACACACTAAGTACACAGACTTCAAAAATGGAAGGAGATGTCAGGGCACACTCTCCCTATTTCTATTCTACGGTCGATTTCCCTTTTCTCCATGTACCACTATGTACCTAACCCCACTCCCCTGATCGCCGCACACGCTGCGCACACACTCCTGCCTACTGAGCGGCCACCTCCGGGATCTCCTGCAGAGAGACCCGGGGGGGCGCGGCTGTGTGTGGAGATGACATGGCTTCTCCCACGTGACCCTGACCACATGTATATAATAGCGCCTGGGGTGGGAACAGAAGAAGCAGCCTTCTTCTCAACTTCCCACTTCAGCCTAAGTGGTCGGGGATGCTCACCCTGCGACGGGACCGCCACTACGCATAGCCGACACCTGTCCCATCAAGTCCCTTGCACCGGGACCTCGCCACTTTCGGAGCTGTCCCTGACAGGAGAGGGGGGAATTGTCTATTCTGTTTCAATCACTACATACATATACCCATACAGCAAACATACAATTTGTGAAAAGAGTCCAAAATATATCAGTTTGGCTGAGCTAAGCCTCCACCAACAATGGTGGTAAGGTTCAGCTGCCATTGTCTTAGAATAAATTCACATACAACAAAAGAAGAATGAAATGCTAAACACTGACTTCCCTATACTACTCCCAATATTGCGTCAAAACTCTGTCCCTTTATTCCATTCGACTCTCCTCATCCATAGCTTTCTAACGATACCGATTTTGTGAAATTTGGTGGAGATTTGACTGAGAATGGGGATTCTCAGATGCAGAATACATATCTTGGTTATCCATGCACAGGGAAACTTGGACCAAATAAAATGCCATAATTCCAAGACTCCTCCAATCACTTCTTTAGCATTTCTATCATTTAACTAGCCCGTATTCTCCTGGAATTTTACTGAGACTAGCTCACATGTGAGCATTGCATAGTTCGTATCGTCCCATGACTCTTGTCATGCCTGATAATCAGAATATCTCCACAACCACCAAACCGATTAGGGTGGAATTCAACACTGAGTCTTTTGGCGTTTTTCTCGATTTAATGACCCCAAGATTGTCCTCTTCCGTCAACTTTTGACCTTGTTCCCATGGTCACAGTCAAGTGCACTGACTTCACACAAGAGGACATCTCAGGTTGAATTTCTCCACCAAATCTCAACCAATTCCTTCGCAGAAAGGCTCTTTCGGTTCGTACGAAAACCCTCTTTCGTCTTTCTTATTTCTTCCCCCTATAATTCCTTTTTCCTAATAATGTACAAGGGTGGGAGCCAATTTTGACATATTTGCTGTGTAAGGTTCCATGAAATTGAGCACACCC